AAAACATAACCAAAAAAATGTTACTTTAAGATAAGTCAGAAATGACCTCCTAGTGACTGACTAAAAACGATCGTTCAATTGAGAGACTTCACCCAATTGCAACAATCCTTTGCTTTCACAATACACTAATCAAAGATTAAACATTCAAATTTCAAATCTCACATGCTAAATCGCTTCAGCTCAAAAGAATTGCTATCATACAAAATGCAAAATGCAATTTTGCAACGGTCCAACCAACCAAAACTGAATAATATAACTCATCATCAGTACAATTTGATGGAAGTTCACGCTGAACAATTCCTTATAACAATTACATAACAGGACGTAACCATGCGCGAATACGCTCTGTTTTGCTGTCGGTTCAATCATTCGCTTCCAAAACATGCAATGCAAAGAAATGGAAAGCAAACCACTTACCGCATATCTTAACATCACGTTCGCTCCCGCACCAACACCAAAGCCAATGAAACTTTTTATCCTCAAAAAAAATTTTCTTCGCTTTAAATAGTACTCACAATCTCAATTAATCTATCCTATTCTTCTTCTTTTTCTAATTTATTTCTAATTTATTATTCACAAAAGATGAAATGACTGAATGACCTTTTCCGAAGTTAATTATATCCGTTCTCATATTACTCTTCAATAATTCAACTCCTCGTTGCAGTAAACAACGCCATCCCATGCATATTTTCATTAAAACTAAATTTTGTAATCGCCGATCTTATAATCATAATAGAATTTCATAGATCATCCTTACACGTGAGCAACGAAGTTTAATTAAATCCAACTTGAACAATTACATTTCAACACGTTCTCATTTATCGAGAAATAAAATTATTTCAAGTGCGATTAAAATACAAAAAAATCTCCTCGTCAACAAAGTTTTTGTGCAAAACTGAATAATAACCAACTCGAAATGCTTCACACATGCTTCGACAATTTTTGCGAGACCGTCCATTGTTGGATAAACGTAACTGCAAACAAATTCCTCATTTTACTTACAATTAGCAATCCACACGAAACATCAATAAGAAATGAACATAACAACAGCAATACATCCCAAGCAAAGCCACCTTGAAGTTCATTCTTTCAATTTCCATAAAATTAACACGAAAAAATCCTCACTATTGTTTACGAGAAACCCTTCCAAAACACTTTTCAATTTTCTTTTCAATTTCAACTTTTCAATTTTCTCACGAATTCTCCGAGAATATTAGTTGAAAGTGCTCACTTCTCAGGTAATGGCGCTGCGTCCATTTCTTGTCCTGGTGCGTTAATGTTATAAACACAAAACTTTTCGGTGAAATCCGCTACTGAGCCGAATTGGAAAAAATTTTGGAAATTGTTTTCAGCTGAAACAAAAAAAACACTCTAATGAAACATTTTTTTTGCTGATTTTCTAAGAAACAACTCTTCAGAAGAAAGAAAAAAAGCACCAATTTGCAAAGTTAATGCGATTATCAATCAACTGATTGAATGAAGCGAATAAGATGAAAAAAGTATCGAATCAAAGTCTCGAAACATTGAAAAAATAAATTTCAAAAATCAAGAAGACCAACAATCAAGGGCCAAATCATGGAATGTTACGATTGGATGTCTTTTACGATCACCATAGATCGTCACTTTCACATTTCCGTACACGGTTGGTACCTTTTCCTGGAACAAATCACATCCCTCACTGCACTCATCACTACCATCATAATTACTGTCATCATTACATTCATTATCAACAATATTCTCATCATATCAACATTCATGCGACCAGAATTGAGACTGCGATTATTTACACCATACTTACAATGACTATTTTTATCGTAAACGACATTATCACTATTACTATTACTAACAACATTATTAATATTATTGCTATTACTATTATCATAATCCATTCATATTACTATTGTATCTTAAATCACCCTCCCACTATTTCCAATCTGTAATCCTCGTCACACACCATTCCAACAGGCTACAGAAATAATTCAAAGCAATATACGCGAAAGCAACAAGCTACCTCTAAATCCGGAGCATGATCCATTAAGGGTTGTTGGTCATGCGTAAACGGGTATATGCCCATTTCCATCGATGACATCGTCGACTCGATACGATCTTACTGATAGAGTTTTCGGGTGGTGGCCTATTGAAGAGGTTTCTTCGAAACACACGTTTACTTCAACGCGAATATTTCTCGTCACTTCACTAAGAATCAAAAATTTCATAAGTCAGAAAATGCCGAACTCAAAATCGCTCGCTGAAACGATCGCAATTCAATACAGTTCGAATAGTACGTATACATATATTCTTTACATCACACTTCAATCATAAAATTATGAATAACTTGAAACTGCATCAAAATATAACTGCATTTCTTTCAAATTAACAAATTAGTAACTCTAATCAAAACGATATTTGAGCCATCAATCAACTAACGAATCAAAACGGTAATATTACGAAGAAATTCATTCACAATCAGATGAACATTTTTCCATTTTCACACCTAATATAACGAAGTATCTCTTCCCCAAAACATCTCATTTCATTTCACTGCAAATTTGAGAATATTTATTCACGTGATGAAATGAAAACTTGCGAAATGAAGAACAAAAAATGCGATGTATAATCATCCATATAACACCTGCAACATTACGCACGTGTCGAAGGAAAAAACAACCCATTAAAAAATATTTTCTAAAGAAAAACCAAAAGCTGAACATCATTCAAAGGATAAATTTGTTTCCT